TAATAATAATAATAATAATAATAGAACTAATAATAATACTTATTGAGTCACATATACAATTACAATCGTGTATGACGAGTCAAATATGATGTAAATAGGTCTTGGGAGCAGCGAGTGAAGTTACATTTATTTTTATTGTCCAGAAGCAAAACAAGGGGACATCTCGACATTTGCTCTAAAGACCAGGGAAATTGGACAAAAAGCCTGGTCAAGATGGGATCATTGGCCTAGTGATTATACAATACTTGTTACAGATATATTAAGATATTACATAGGGGATAATTATTTTTAGCAGCACTTAGATGAACATTTTACTTACTTTAATTTAATTTAAAATATTGTACACATTGGTTGATGAAGGCTACATGCTTGTCTTGTGTTATAGGGGTGTAAGCTTCAGTTGAATTCGTAAAGCTTGTCATTGTTTACTAGATTTTTCTTTACAAACACGATAACTTCATAAATAAAAATACAAGGCAGTGGAAGTATGTTAAGTTTTTTGAAATGAGGTCTGCAGGACTCTGTTCTTTTTGTATTTGTTATTGTTCGAATGATTCTCTTTTGTATTTTGAATGTTTGTTTAGTCTCTGGTGCTTGGCCCCATATAATTATCCCATATTTGAGACTAGAGTACATATTTGCAAAGTACACTGTTCGTGCTGTATCAATGGTGCTGTTTCTTCTTCTTATTATTATTCTAAGAGCATAATTAACTTTGCTCAATTTTGAATTAATATCTTCTAGGTAAGAGTTCCACTTGAGGATGGATTGTATGGTGATTCCGAGAAATTTTGTTTTCTGTGCTTGTCTGATGCTGTTTCCTTCTAATGTTAAATTTGGTGAGTATTGTTGTGTTGAGTGGGAGTTGTGGAAGGGTATTGTGATTGTTTTGTCTCGGTTTACGATTAGTTTATTATCGTAGATCCACTGAACTAGCTTGTCGATGGCTAGATTGGCTTTGTCTTCGAAGCTTTGTTTGTTCTTTCCTTGAATATTATGTGTCATCAGCAAAAAGTACGGTTTGGTTGTTTTCCACTATTGATGGCAGGTCATTTACTAATATAAGAAATAAAATCGAGCCTAGTGTGGATCCTCATGGGACCCCATATGTCACATTCCTTGGCTTGGAGTGATGGTTATTTATTTTGTTTTGGTAAGGTAATACTACCATTTGTTTTCGGTGTGATAGGTATGATTTTATCCAATTGTAAGCAATCCCTCATATTCCATATGATTCTAATTTTGACAATAGAATTGTGTGATCTATCGTGTCAAAGGCTTTTGACAGGTCAAGAAAGAGACCAACAGGAATTTCTTTTTGCTCTAAAGCCATGAGGATTTCATTTACAAAGGTGAATAGAGCAGTTTCAGTTGAATTATTTTCCCTGAATCCATGTTGATAGTCAGCGATAATGTTACAGTGTATCAAGTATTTTTTCAATCTTTCATAGAACAGTTCTTCCAATATTTTTGAAAAACCTGACAAAGTGAGATTGGCCTATAATTCATTACATCTTGTTTGTTACCTTTTTTGTGTATAGGTTTTAAATATGTTTGGGAAGGAGCCATGAGTTAGTGATTGATTATATAAATATGTTAATGGTTTGATGATATATGGAGCAATCTTTTTTATTAAGAAGTCTGGAATATTGTCTATCCCAGCGGATTGTTTATTTTGCATTTTGTTTATAATTTGAAGTATTTCCTTTTCTGATGTTTCTGTGATGTAGATGCTAGAAAGAGTGTTTTTTTTACGAAAGGTGATGGTTGTAGAGGTGTAGTGTTTGGATTTCTTGTTTTTAGTAGTTTACCAGCAATTTCAGAGAAGCGTTTGTTGAATATACTGGCTGTTTCATTAGGGTTTGTAATTGTTCGGTGTTCATGGACTAGTTTAATATTTTGTGCTTTGTTATTTGCTGGAAATGTTTTTTTTACAATATTCCACATAGCTTTTGTTTTATTTTTGGATTTTTTTATATTCTCCTCATTTGACATATGTTTGGCCTTTATTATAACTTTTTTGAGTATGGCTGAATATCGCTTATAGTAGTTCACTATTTGAGGATTTCAAGAGTGTTCTTTTGTGAGTTTATAAAGCTCTCTTTTTCTTTCATATGAGATTTTAATCCCCTTTGTTATCCATGCTTTGCTGTTTTATGTGTTGTTTTTTGTGATACTGTAGTAAAGATTGCATCAGCTCCTGGGCAGTTTCTCGTTCGAACCATGTGTGACATTGTCGGAATCCTGAGAAGCCCAAATTTCCAGTTTAAAGCCACAATCTAGCATTGTCATCCGAGGTGCGATGCAGAAAGTTTATTAAAAACGTGTTGGTCATCTTCAAGGTTCAAGTCAGGGGGTGCCAGGCACTTGGATGCAGTCGTAACATGAAGTAAAAACGACGAAATTCGTAAAGAAAAGTTTGATATCGTCTGGTCAGAGGTAACTGGGAAATCTTCAATACTCGTTGATTCTTTCTCTACGTAACAATCTTCGTCAATTGTGTGTCATCACTTTTCCAGAACTCTCTTGTCTGATAAAAAACTACTGATAGAAGAGGCGATGTTTCGTGGCAGCTTCTACTTATTGCTCCCCAAACTATTTCTATGAGTACTTCGCAGCCTCAACAAATATCTATCTCAATATTGCAGTTGCAAAGACACTCCAAGAAACACTCAAACTTTGTTATTTCCAAAAATTCTTAGATAACAGTAAATATCGGATCTATGACATCTTGAGAAGCATATTTCAATCTATTCTTACAACAAATTTGGAGAGAGAAATATTAAACCACTTTTGAGAAAATTTAAAATTGTTCCAGGGGATTTACTTACATTATCCCCACATTTTAAAGGATCTTTTTCACACTCGCAAAGCTTTGAGAGAGGCTACATTGACTGAAGAATATTCATTTTCGATAAAATTCTAGGAATAGTGTAGGTACTAGTGTTGTTTACAGATGCACCCATGCAGTCACCCTTAGGAGGCGGCGCGACCACGCGCCAGCGGCCGCGGTATTGTTCTTGTCACGGCGGTCAGGACGGACGGACGGACGGATGGACGGACGGACGGGCAGTCAGGACGGACGGATGGACGGACGGACGGGCAGTCAGGACGGACGAATGGACGCGACGGAACGGGCAGTCAGCGACGGACGGACGGACGGGATGGACGGACCGGACGGGCGTCAGGACGGACGGGACGGACGGACAGTCCAGGACGGAACGGACGGCGGACGGACAGTCAGGACGGGGACGGAGGGTAGTCAGGCGGACGGACGGACCGGACCGGGCAGTCAGGAGGAACGGACGGGCAGCTCAGGACGGAACGGACGGGCAGTCCGGCGACGGACGGCGGGCAAGTCAGGACGGACGGACGGACGGACGGACGGGCAGTCCACGGACGGACGGAGCGGGAGCGGGCAGTCAGGACGGACGGAACGGACGGGCAGTCAGGACGGACGGACGGACGGGCAGTCAGGAAGGACGGACGGACGGGGGCAGTCAGGACGGACGGACGGCGCAGTCAGGCCCGGACGGACCGGGCCAGTCAGGACGGACGGACGGGACGGGCAGTCAGGACGCGACGACGCACGGGCAGTCAGCGACGGACGGACGGACGGGCAGTCAGGACGGACGGACGGGACGGACGGGCGACGGACGGACAGGCGGAGGAACGGACCAGGACGGACGGACGCGGCGACGGACGGACGGACAGGACGCGACGGACGGACAGAACAGCGCACGGACCGGACCAGACGGGCAGCAGGAACGGACGGACGGAGGGCAGTCAGGACGGACGGGCAGTCAGGAAGGACGGACGGACGGGCAGTCAGGACGGACGGGCAGTGCAGGAGGACGGACGGACGGGCAGTCAGGACGGACGGACTGGACGGGCAGTCAGGACGGACGGATGGACGGGCAGTCAGGACGGCACGGCGCAGTTCAGGAAGGACGGACGGGCAGTCAGGACGGACGGACCGGACGGCAGACGGACGGACGGGCAGACGGACGGACGGGCAGACGGACGACGGCAAGACGGACGACGGGCAAGACGGACGGCACGGGCAGACGGACGGACGCGGAGACGGCCGGACGGGCAGACGGACGGACGGGCAGACGGACGGGAAGACGGCAGACGGACGGACGGGCAGACGGACGGACTGCGCCCGGACGGAGGGGTTGACTGCCGCCGGACGGAGGGTTCGGACTGCCGCCCGGCACGGAGGGTCGGACTGCCGCCCGGACGGAGGGTCGGACTGCCGCCCCGGACGGAGGGTCGGACTGCCCGCCCGGACGGAGGGTCGGACGCCCGCCCGGACGGAGGGTCGGCACTGGCCGCCGCGACGGAGGGTCGGACTGGCCGGCGCGCGGACGGAGGGTCGGACTGCCGCCGGGACGGAGGGTGGACTGCGCCGACGGAGGGTCGGACTGCCGCCCGGACGGAGGGTCGGACTGCCGCCCGGACGGAGGGTCGGATGTGCCTGCCCGGACGGAGGGTGCGGACTGCCGGCCCGGACGGAAGGGTGCGGACTGCCCGCCCGGAACGGAGGGGTCGGACCTGCCGGCCCCGACGGAAGGGTCGGACTGCCGCCCGGACGGAGGGTCGGACTGCCGCCGCGGACGGAGGGTCGGACATGCCGCCCGGACGGAGGGTCGGACTGCCGCCCGGACGGAGGGTCGACTGCCGCCCGGACGGAGGTCGGACTGGCCGCCCGGACGGAGGGTCGGACTGCCGCCCGACGGAGGGTCGGGGGGCTGCCGCCCGGCACGGCCGGGTCCGGACTGCCGCGCCGGACGCGAGGGTCGGACTGGCCGCCGGACGGCACGGGTCGGACTGCCGGCCCCGCGACGGAGGGTCGGACTGCCGCCCGGCGGAGGGTCGGACTGCCGCCGGACGGAGGGTCGGACTGGCCCCCGGACGGAGGGTCGGACTGGCCGCCCGGAGGAGGGTCGGACTGCCGCCCGGACGGAGGGTCGGACTGGCGCGCCGGACGGAGGGTCCGGACTGCCGCGGACAGGAGGGTCGGACTGCCGCCCGGACGGAGGGTCGGAACTGAACGCCGGAACGGTAAGGGTCGGACTGAAGCCCGGACGGAGGGTCGGACTGAAGCCCGGACGGCAGTCCGACCTTCCGTCCGGCCGTCAGCCCGACCCTCCGTCCGGCTGTCATTAATTTCTGAAGTTATGTCTTAATATTTGTAGAGTTTGAATTTGATTGCTAACTCTTTTCCACGTGTTTATTTGTGTGTTTTATAGTTATTTGCGAGTGATAATTAGGCACTTAGCTGGAATGTATTTGAGAATACTGAAGGCCGTTATCCGCACGTTTAATATTTTGATATATAATAAACATTTTCTCAAAGAGAAAGATTAAATCTTATAAGAGCTACTAATTTATTATATTCAAACTGGATCAATCTTAATAAAATATGTGAACGACTTCGTTTTAACATGAGAAAGGCATGCTTCCCTTAATTTATGATATATCTCTTGATTCATTATCATTTCTTTTCAGCTTTAACAAAAACTTTTCTTACCTTTTGACCCCAAGTAATATCTGACAATCCCACAACTGCAACATCAGAAATATCTGGATGACCCAGAAGATGAGTTTCTACTTCCACTGCACTGACTTTATAGCCACCTGTCTTAATTATATCAACAGATGTCCGTCCCAGAAGCCTATAAGATCCATCAACATACTCTGCTGTGTCACCTGCAAATCACAAATTCATACACTCATATTTGCATAGTAAAAATGTAACTGTTGAAATATTCTATAATATTTCTTCAGTTACTTTCAATTTGCTGAATTTCTGTTGACTCAATTTTTGTATGTTCTCATTTTCACAATTTGGCTTTCAATATTCTTTCTTGAAATTTTGAAAGATTAAAATTATTGACCTTCAACTACTCCACCAGCCCATGTGACTCAACCACTCATTTTGCAGAGCTGTATGCCCACAATGCATTCCATATGTTTGTGACAATCAGTTTCTCACTGAGTAGGCATCACAGACTCATTCTTCTGAAACATTTAATAATACTAATACTAATACTAATAATACTAATACTAATACTAATAATACTAATACTAATACTAATACTAATAATAATAATAATAATAATAATAATAATAATAATAATAATAATAATAATTTGTACTTGTTTATTACACAGCTAAATCAGCCACCATAGGACTAGATATAGTTTGAAGTATTGCCCTATCATAAAGATGGCAAAAAACATGATAGAATTAAAGAAAAAACAACTTGAAAAATACCAAAGAGACATATAAAACAAATTATTTGAAAATTTTTTGGTCAGAACAAATTGTTTGTTTATATAATATTTTGGGAAATATTGCTTCAGACAAATTCAATTTTCTACAGACTGTTTCAAATGGATTAATCACAAAATCCAAGGAATTTCCGAATTGTAAAAACTACAATGCTCTGAATAGTAATATATGCAAGGGGGGGAAGGGAGGAAAAATGTATACTTTTGCAAGGCAATGTTGAGATGTGACATGTTGGTCAATATACACCTTTCCTCTCCTTTCAAACCTACCAAGAAGTTACAAATATTTTCTTGAATACTCAGATAATAAAGGAGTATATAACTGACAAACACAACTTTCTTCACAACCCATTCGCTGGTCCAAATCCCATGATATGAGTAGGTTCCATTTAAATGACTATTTTCAGGTTTGATTAATTTAAAAATTATTTAATCCATTATTTTGTTATATGGTAATTTTCCTAATGCACCATGTCATTTTAAAAAATTAATGTGATAACTGTTGAAGTTGTGTTGGTTTGTAGTTCGTTAAAATAAATTTGTGATGTGTCCAAAACAAAACATTGTACTATCAATGGTCGACATATACTGAAATTAAGTGAAATAAGATAAATATAACTGAAAATAAAACAAATACAATGTGTAATTCTAGGATAAATATATTTACCTAAGTATCTATAAGTACCATTATGAAGATATTTGTGTCTGGAATATATGTGAAAACATGAAACCTGCAAATGCGCTTTGTACTTTTTGAACTTTTGTTGTGTGTGGTTATTTTATAACGTCTGAAACTTATCAATGAATGTCTATCGGCTAAATCAGTTATACTAGGAATGATAACCTATAACAGTCATTATGAAAGTATTTGTATGTATTTGGGTACATTAATACTATGATCTTTTTTGATAAATTTCTATTCTCTGTCTAGCTTATTAATATAAGATCTATTTTCTGTATGACTTGTCAATGCATAGGTCTACAGGCTAAATCAATACAAATTTTTCCACCAATATTTTATTACTATACCAACTTTAGCAACAAAAACGTAAAAACGCAAGGATGTTGAAAATTGCACTATGCTTATGCACTCATTTACAAATTCAATGAAAATTACAGGTACAGATAAATATGTTACCTGTTCTGAACCAGCCGTCTGCAGTAAATTCCTTTTCTGTAGCTTTTGGTCGTCTCCAGTACTCTCTAAATATTCCTGGTCCTTTCACTCTCAGTTCCCCTTTTGTACTTTCCTTTGAATGAAGAATACTGCCTGTGCTTTTGCCCGAGACTAAAACTGAAGATTTTCCATCAGTTTCACTCCTTGCAATCTGAACTTGTACTTCCGGCATGGGAAAACCTACAAATCCTAAGGAAACAAATGTGCATTATGTGTATCATGTCATGAGAATGTGTATTTTATTATAGAAATTGTGATGGTGAAAATAAGAAACGTAGTAAAATCTGTCTAAGCCGGCATTGATCAGGACAAAAAAGGTAAACCAATGTAGGTAAAAAGTAAATAAAGTAAAGTAAAAATTACATGATTTTATTATGATTATTAAAATAGATTGACATGTAATGTATTTATGGAAGAAATTGCTAATAAATGAATATTAAACACTAGCAAAATGTGGTGTCGCTGACACTGTAAACCATTTAAAAAATAGTATGTGTTGAAAATTTCTTTCATATCCAGATACATTAAAATATGTTTTTTTCTCAGTATCTGGCATTGAACTAGCCAATGAATTGTAGTAGCCGATAATGTCATACTCTGGTTTAAAAGTTCCCATGGCAATTCTTTTAAGACTCTACCGCCCGCTGGTTTATTTGTCTACCGTTGTCTTAATTAATCGTCATATGAATTTAGGATTTTATCGCTAGTTGTATTGTTTTTATTTTCTCTTAGTGAGAATAATTTAGCCGTTGTTTCATGCAGTAGGGATCTCATTCTTCCCGTTTCTTATTAAGACCGAAATAATATTTTATTAGACTTGTGCTATTGTGAATTTTGATGGAATATCGTTGCAATATTTTGTGTAGTTTGAGCGTCAGCGTTATTGTTAGTTATCAGTTTAATGGTTTGTTATAATCAGTGTTCGTCGACCTTCCTTTTGCTCCCGTCACCATTATTTGTTTTGGAGCCATGAACCCGTTGTTGCTTGCCGATTTCATAGCTAGACGGTAGAGGCGGTGAATGTAATGGGACGGTCGCACGCGTCGGTTTAAAAAATGTTCGCTGTAGTTTAAAAAATTATTTAAAAATTCATTACACATTTGTAAAGAAAATTGAAATGAAACTTTTTTTTTCTTGGAAATTCCTCCTTTTGAAGATTCGTAAAGAAAAACCTTTTACATTGACACTGGCCTAAAGTAATCCATTTGTCATCTAGACATCAATAAATTACAAGTAATGCTGGATGACACATGATTTTATCGCATGGCGGAACGTTTTGTGAGAAGCGCCTATTCGGCATTTCAACTATTAATTAGTGGCGTCACAGAATAGCACAGACTTTCCCGTATTCTATTTACTTTAGTCTCGGCTAGCTATACGGACATACCACATACTCCTGCCAATTGCCATCTGTCATCTAAATACATTTTTTTGAAATTTTCTTAATGTTTTGGTGACCTCACAGAAAAAGGTATTTTCGAGAAAATTTATACGACTATTTAAAGTAGATTTACTCACAAATATAATAAAGTATACAAATTGCCGCTAATATACATATTATCGACATGAGAGGCAAGTCAAAAAATTACGTTATTGTGATTTTTGAAAAATGAAAAGAACAGATCAATATGGCGTTTATGTCATCTTATAGAAAACACAACTCTATTCCTACAACAAGCTTTTTAAAGAAATTGGAACCATTTGAGAAAATCTTGTACTTGTTAGTTTTAAAATTGCACATATTGCTTGAAAACAACTAAACTTTTAAAAAAATTAACATGACAATAATGAAAGAACACACTAACAAAAATAAATTTTATTTGAAGGGAAAATCTTTCTTCAAATTTGTAGTTGTAGAAACACACGCGAAGAAATTTGAAATTTTCGAAAATTCTGTGTTACCTTGAAATTCGGATCTATGCCATCTTTATTTTCTTACTCTATTCTTACAAGAAATTTTAAGAAAATTCTGACTCTCTGGGAGGCGTCATGTAAAGTAGCCACATATTTTAAAGAAATATTTTCAAACCCTCAAAGAGCTCGACTCGAGCGAGATACATAAGGGTTTCTTTAATAAGGAAATAATTCCTACGAATGATTTACGTGCTAGTGGTGTTCAGAGACGGAGGAGCTAAACGCGAATTTCCGTTGAAATCAGAAAAAGGATTTTCCGCATTACATAACTTTCCCTATACAACGTGTAATATACATACGTATACGGTAAAGTAAACACGCTATGCACTATGTAATGGAATTAATTTATTTAATATAATATACGTAATTAATAATGTACGTTATGTTCCGTGCAATCCTAAACTATGGAACATTACAATAAAGTATGGTATCTGAGTATTACATTCAATTTAGGGTAAGGCAGATATGGATGGTGTGAATAGTTAGAATTTAGTACACTTTTTTGATAATATACACAAAAATTCACATAAAATACAACTGGTCAGCTGCTTTTCAGCGATTTTCTCCAACAATTCATTTTAATTACTTCTGAAAATTCTGTCCCAAAGTCTGTAACTACATTTAATTCTACCCCGGACCTCCCTCTCCAAATATTTGAAAAGAGTAAAACTCAAATAACTCTCGTTCTCTTTTCAACTCTGCCTTTCTGTATCGTATATATATATATATATATATATATATATATATATATATATAGGGATTCATAGCTAGCCTATGCTACCCACTAAAAACCCCTGCCCTTTCCTCCAGTCCTTCCCCGGAACGCCCGTCAGCATTGCATCGCGCGAAGGAAAGGACGCCGGCTTTTCCCACTTCACCGAAATATTACGGAGAGGAGACTTCTTCGTAACTGCCCTCGGAGCAGGAGCGTCTTTCAGCGACCTTTGCCGGCATAGGTGGTACCGCCACTCCAATACACTTGTGTCAGCATCCTAGTGACGATGTCTTCAGCGGGTCACTTTCTCTGGAGGAGTCTGGAAGCTTCTCCCTTTCCACTGGCGAAGCGTGCGACAATGATAAGAACACGTGTTCTACATCTTCAATCACCGGGAAACACCTTGCGGCCATGAGGAGCTATTCGTATCCAACCGGAATCGCGGAGCTGATACTCTCGAAACATCCATGCCCTGTTCAGCATCTGAGTTAGATTAAAAATCTAATCTCCATGTTCCCTTTTGAATCCACGTCTTGTCGGGAATGACCCGAAAATGCTCCATCGCCCAGTTGAATGATTGCTTCCTTCGTCATTTGCCCCATTGGCTTCCATGTCACCCCCCTCCTCTTCTTTCGTTAATGGTATTCCAGTTTGAGGCCCCCCTCCCTGCTTGCGCAAATAGCTCTAGCTCTCTCCTGCGCCAATGAGGTCGATCGGAGGCATTATCCTCTAACACACAGCATCATAGCATACGGTGCGAAACGCTCGAGCAACCCGCAAAAGGCGAGACCTTCTATGCACCGACTTAGCCCCACGAGCGTATGACTGAATTTGCCCATGGCATCAGCCCAAATACGGGGCTGCAGTAGAGGAGAATGGAATTTACTACGCTAGTCAGCAGCCTCCGGCTCTTTGCCAGGACCCCTACATTAGGCATTAATGCGTGCCAATGCGGATGCCATACGAGACGCCTTTCTTCGGAGACATTCGCAGGTGTCGTCAAGCGCCAGTCTCGCGTCAATATAACACTCCCAAATACCTCAGTGACAGCGGCGAGGATTTTTGCAGGCCTCCTACATTAAGAGTAATACTCTCTCTCACTTTTCTGCCCCGTCATCAGCACAGCCTGTTTGTCATGGGCGGCCATCTGGAGCCCTACCGACGTAAGCCACCGGCGGATCTCCGCCACATCTCGTTGGCAACCTGCTGACTTCTTCGATGTATTTGCCGACAGCGACAATATGCAACATCGTCAGGTAATCCAATAGTCTTGCCGCCTTCCGGCAACTCGGAAAGCTTTTTCAAACCAACCGGGCGTCATTACATAATGTTCCACAACACCAAGCACCGAGCCTTGTAGGCACCGCCTGTGACCGTATAAGATTGTACTCCAGCCCCAGTTTCAATATAGGAGGGATTCTCTCCTTAAAGTAACTTTTTTACCAAGTTCGAGAGCCTTACCTTGGACTCCAAGAGTTTGGTGCGCAGAAAGAATGGGCTCCAGGGCAGTGTTAAAGGTTGCTTTTTACCTACTAGGGTCACTATTAGCACAATACTTCATAGGACCGCCTTTCCATAGTTTGCCTTTAATGGCCTTGCGGCGATGTCGATGCACTACCTTAATTGCATCTACCTGGATCTGCGCCTTTTCTAAAGCCGTACTGATTATCAGACAAGCTTTGAGGCCCCTCTGTAAATGACTCAATCGATTGCAGATAATTCCGCTCAACACTTTGCCTGCTGTGTCCAGTAAACATTATTGGCCGATAGGCTGCCGCCAGATCAGTAGGTGCCGTATCGCCCTTCGGAAGGACTAGCTGTTGCTGCCTTCCATCGACGGGGAAATCCCCCCTCTCGTATGCATGCATATATAGCCTGCAAGAATTAGATCGGGTCCGAGTCTTATTAGCGCGTCGTAATTTGCTACATTTGGTACCCCATCTAATCCGGGGGCTTTGCAATCTTGGACCCTTGCGCAAGCCTCTGGAAAGTTTCATCCAACGTGACTGCCGGAACCACGCTTTAGATATTTCAGACGATCCTTCGGTTCAACAAATCTACCCTGCGCAGGAAACAAGTAGCTACACTTTTCCCAAAAAGAAAACGGGCAAGTGGTGGTCGCCTGAACATACCCCTGAGTTCTGCGTCGCTTACCAGCTTATACGGCGTCCCAGGGGTCAGCTATCCACCGCCTCCCCTAGCTCTCTCCCAGCAACCACACTTACTAATCTTTAATGGCTTTTGTGAAAGCTCTTCGGGCGTCCAGATGTTGCTTCTTGAGAAATTTCATAGTTTGGGCGGCCCAGGCGCGCTGCTGCCCCAATCTAAGTGTTCCGTTGTGGCATCTCCCCCTGCCGAAGTTCCGCGATCTCGTCAGTCCACCAGTTACACTGGAGGACGGCGTTCTCTCCTTGGACTTTTGTCATTGCGACGCATCACAAGCTCAAATACCAGTTCATTACGGTTATTCTACAATTATATTCAGAGTCACGCGGCCAACATATCTTTCAGGGTTGCCCTCCATCATGCAATGAACGAATACGATCAACGTCCTGTAGTT